TTTTTTTCGATTTAATTTTAAATCTTTATCACAATTTTTATACAACAAAATTGCAATTACATTTTTTATTTTTTTCAAATCATGCAGCCCTATCACTGAGCTTTTCCCATATGCTCGGCATACAAAAGGAAATTCACAGCTGTCATCTTAAAGGAAGCAAATCATATTTTCTTTTCTTTCCAGTAATCGCAAATGACTAGAATGATTATTGAAATGTTGTGGAAAATCACTGATATATTTTCTTTATATCTGCAGTTAGTCATAGATAATGTTTTTTTTTTAAATGCCATCAGGCACTGTTCTCAGTGTATCTGCTGTTAAAAATGTAATTTTGTCCTAATCTCTCTAGCACCCCCTGGTGGCAGTGATGGCACAGAGCAGGGCTCAGGCAGTCCTGCTGGAGTTGTGTTCATTCAGGGCTCTCCTGAATATGGACACACACCTCCTCATGCCACTCGACCTAGACGCTTCTCAGGTGACACTTCCATTATTTTACTTAATGAGACTGAAACACAAGTATTGTGTTTGCATGTTACAGTATCTGTTAGACTCACAATGCATTTTCAATTCACTTCATTTGCTGTTGAAGTGGGCACTCTCAGCCCAACAAGCCCTGGCTGGACCTACGGTCATGTGCACGAGGCTTACAGCTCGCCTGACAGTCTGCGCTATGGTTACACAGATGCCATGGCAACAAACCTATGCGAGGGTGTGGCCTTTGTGCCACCTGAACTGCCAGAGGAGATGCTTATGGAGGTAAAATAATTGGGCTATACATTATGTATGAAGGATACAGTCATTCAGACAGTCAGCCAGGTAGTTGTCATATTAAAATAAACCCAGAAAGGTTGATCAAGATGGTCTTGCGTCATTCTGAAGGGGTTTATTTTGTGATAATGACTGACTGACTGACTGTATATTATCCTGATTATTACGTGACTGCTTACCAAATAAATGAATATGATGTGTTGGTTAAATAATTGTATAATTTAGACTAAATAATTGTATTATGTGAGAAGATGATACGAGAGTGATACGAGAGACATTAAACTAGCACAAATATGTAGAAAATGAATGGGTGGGATCAATGGTCAGTTTAACGGCCAAAAATACACTACTGTTCAAAAGTTTTGGGTTACGTTTTTTTAAGTTTTTGAAATGAGTCTCATGCTCATCAAGGCTGCATTTATTTGTTAAAAAATACAGTAAAACATTAATATTATGAAATATTTGTACAGTTTAGAATAACTGTTTTCTATTTTAATATATTTTAAAATGTATTTTATTCCTGTGATGGCCAGCTGAATTTTCAGTATCATTACTCCAGTCTTCAGTGTCACATGATCCTTCAGAAATCTTTCTAATATGCTGATTTGCTGCTCAAGAAACATTTCTTATTATTATCAATGTTGAAAACTGCTTAATGATTTTGTCAAAACTGATACATTTTTTCAGGATTCTTTGATGAATAGAAGGTTCAAAAGAACAGCATTTATTTGAAATAGAAATCTCAAATAAATTGTAACATTAAAAGTGACTTTGCTGTCATTACTGAATTAAAGTATTAATTTCTTCCCCCCAAAAAAACTCAAACTTGCTGTCCTCAAACTTTGGAACGGTAGTGTATATGACCAATCAGAACTGAGTATGCTGGAGAGCAGGGGTTTTTTTTAATTGTTGTTATTGTGGCACCTGGTATGATGTGCTGTGATTAGGAGTGTTTCATCGATTATTTCAAGATTTGATGTCCTGCTCTTCTTCACCACAGGAGGGGCATACGGACTTGCTGAGCCAACTGCGCTTCATTCTAGCCTTTTCCCACTGCATCACAGAGATCGCTAGAACAAAGGACAGTGGGATTGAAAGGAATATGGCACTTGATGCTTCATTCTTAGAGCAGAGCGTGGTGGCTGACCAGGTCAGCCTGCTGAGCCGTGAGTGGAGGTGAGATACAACTCAGTCACACATAAACACATACATGTTTTATGTGTGATATTAAGTGATGTACATTGTGAGTGATGTGCACATGTGTATGTAGCTCTGCAGAGCAGCTGGTCCTCTATATGAAGTGTGCTGAGCTGCTGTCCTCTGCGCTTCACACAGCGATGGCTGAGATCAAAGAAGGCAAACTCTTCCCATCAGGATCTGTTAAACAAGGTCAGTCATAGAAAGTTAGAAAACTAGAAAGTTCAAAAGAACAGCCTTTATATAAAATAGAAATCTTTTGTACCATTGTAAATGTCTTTACTGTTGCATTTGAGCAGTCAAAAACTGCATATACTGTAATTAAGACATTCATTCTATGTTATGTTGTGTTTGTGTTGCACTTGCAGTAGTACGTAAGCTGAATGAGATGTATAAGAAGAGTGTGAACTCCTGCCGTTCTCTCACTGAGAAACTCCAGCTTTTCATCAGCAGTAAACAACGACTGATGGACCGCATCAACAGCATTACTGCTGAGAGACTCATCTACACACACACCATTCAGATGGTATGAACATATTCGCATTATGTTTCTTATAATATAAGGAGAAACACATCAGTATCATATCACTAATAAAGAGTATGAATTGCGTTCCTTTCTTATGTGATCAGGTACAGACGGCAGCACTGGACGAGATGTTTCATCACGGAGAAACCTCTGTAGAGCGATACCATAAGGCCTTACTGCTGATGGAGGGCCTGTCCTTAATTATTACAGAGACTGCAGATCTAAACAGTATCAGCAAATGTGAGTGTGACACACGTTCAAAAGTTTGGGGTCAGTAAGAATTTTTTAAAAGAAATTAAAACTTTAGCAAATATGCATTAAATTGATCAAAAGTGACAGTAAAGACATTTATGGTATGAAAAAAAGATTTATATTTCGTATATGAAAAGTATTACGGTTTCCACAAAAAGCACAACTGTTTTCAACACTGATAATAATAAGAAATGTTTCTTAAGCATCAAATCATCATATTAGACTGGTTTCTGAAGAAGTGACACTGAGGACTGGAGTAATGATGCTGAAAATTCAGCTTTTCTGTCACAGGAATACATTACATTTTAAAATATGTTCAACTACAAAACAGTTATTTTAATTTGTAATAATATTTAACACTATGACTCATCTCTGATGTATGTTTTGTTTGTCTGTTCTATAGGTAGACAGTGTATTGAGTGGCGGCTCTCCTCCCTCCAGCCCAAAGGATGTGTGTGATGAAACCAACAACAACTACATCTCATTTCATCCCAGTTGCCTTTTGAAATTCTGTAAAAGGAAAAACTCATACTCACTCATTAAAAATGTGATACTTGGCTTCCAAAGCCAGAAAAAAGGTGAGAAAAGACTTTTTCATAATAGACAAAGATGAAATCTCTATTGATATATGTGTATAAACAGAAGTAACATCTATGACTTAAACATCTATGTTGTTCACTGTCAAAGAATATTGAGTGAAACAGAATCAAGATGGCATCATTGGTTGAATAGATGTCTTGTTTAAATGCTTTGACCTCTGAATCTACACCAGTGCATGGTGGCACTTAATAAGAGATTAATTTAATCTTAGTACTACAATGTTAAAGCCAGTGTTGGAGTCTGAATGAGTAACAGCTTGGATGCGTTTCATTCAATCGTACCAAAACATGCCCGTAGCATTAGTCTTATGAAGTTACATGGAATGATCCTGCTTTTGATGGACTTATTCTGCATGTTTTTTGCATGGTTCTGAGGAAATGATAGTTATCTGCTGTATCTGAAGGGAATTCATAATAATGAAACTTCTGTAGCAACCAAACCGTTGTTGAAATAGCAGTCGGCGGTGGATGTGTAGTATTCAGTGTTACATCTGTATGACTCTAATGTGGCAATTGACCAAAATTGTGGCAAACCTTTGTTGACCTACTGATAAAGACTGTCAGTTTCATATGTTGTCATATGAAGATGGAAAAAAATACTTGAGATTTGAATTATATTAACTATCATACTGTTAGTCATATGTGTGTGTGAAACAGTGAAGCACTTTATAAACCTATTTGCCTTCTGGGTGCCTGAAAAGAACCACTGCAGAGACAAGCCTAATGGCTCATTTCGGGTTAATTAACACCTGAAAGTCAAAGGAAATGCAATACAAAGACAGTCAGTATCTTGTGTGTAGCATTTTATATTTATCTGTTTTAGCTGTCAGTCTGAAAATGATGTTTTAGTTTTCAGTTTGCTTTAGAATCTATTGCAAGTAAAGGACTTTTGCACAATTTGCTGGGATGACTTAGTCTTTGGTTTTTGTAGTGATTTGAGAGTGCCTTAAATGACCTAGCTGGTTTAATCTCACTGGACACTCTGAGACTTGCAATCTGTTATACTTCCAGCATTTTCATATCATATTCATTCATTACTTGCACTATTTTTGCATTTTCCAATGGCGATAACGTGAACTCTTTTTTTTTTTTTTTTAACCCTATCTGATAATAAGTTTCATATCAAGGTGTTTTTAAGGCATTTAGTCAGAATTGTGTGTGGTAGAATGGTTGTGATAGATGCACATGAACATTTTAAAATAACAGTGATGTTAAATTGAGGACAATTAAATATTTTGTATATGTTGTTGTTACAATATTTATGTTTTCTGGTATTTTTGTCTTTTTATTTCCATTTTCAAAGCCAAAATCAAGCATATGTGCAGAATGCGTGTGGTATGGGGGTGTGTAACTGAATAAATTTCACTTTCATATTTACTCTGTGTATGTTGATTAATTTCGAATTATACTAAGTAAACTCTTGTCTTTAAACAGTAACTAGAGTTGTGGGGTCTAGAATTAACTCAGAATTAAGAAAATATTATTTCCTGGTCAATTATGCTGGAAATGTTAAAAAGATTTTATGTTGCCAAGTTTAAAGAGCGTGTGTTTTAGGGCTAATTCATATGGTTAAAAATACACATAAGTTCTACTAATTTATATTAGTATATATTTATATTTAATTTATAAATTTAATTTATAATTTAAATTATTTAAAAAAACTTAAATTATAATTTATATTTATATAACTCCCAATCCATGCAAGTTAGTTAGTAACTCGTGCTGCAGCGCGGCAAGAAAACGAAGGGAAGCAAAGCCCACGGTAACCCCGCGCCCACACACACGTCACGCTTTCTTCTGTGACGGGATTGGGCAAGAGCCCGTCAGTCAAGTAAACGTCACGCTGTGAGTCAAGTGTTTCCGGGTATTCGGAGAAGAAAGAAAAAAAAAAAAAAAGCAATCTGTCGCCATGTTTCACACACAAATATCTGTCAAACGCTTATAACGGTTTTACTGAGCTTTGTGTTCGTGAGAGTGGCAACGCGCAGGTGTTTTGTCACTTAGACTCTGAAGATAGAGCTACAGTGGATGGTCGGAGCGCGGGACGGTGATTTTACAGTAAGTGGCGCGTGTTGATGTTTGTGTTTAGCAGGTGAGCTAATGCTCAGCGAGCGCAAACTCAAACATATTCTGCTCCGTATGTTCTACTCCACTGCATATACTTAAAGAATACACACGGGTATGTTAAACGTGTTCTCACTGGATAAGAGGAGCTAGGTGTTGATAAGCGGAGAGTGGGTGAGTTTGAGAGCAGTAGCAGGCTGTGACTCACTGTGTCAGTCAGCCTTAAGAGCAGAGAGGGCTTTACTAGAAGTAAACACCGTGCTGTCAGTCCCACAGTGGGCATTATTCCTTGCTAAAATGTACCTATGGTAACTATATCCCCTCCCCCAAAATACTATAATTACTAGTGTAAAAAATAAATAATATGGGATCTGATTCAAACAGAAACAATCTGTCACGGGTTTTTCTATTACTTTAATTTCTTTATTTTTTTCCCTTTTTTTTGACAGTGGCAAAAAATATATAGATTTAATGTAATAACAGCACCTGTAGTAATTGCAATTTTTTTTTGCCGAAGCCATGGTTACCATGGTGAATTTCCGTGAGAGGTGGAATGGACGACAGTCAATAGCTAATCGATACAGTATTAATTGTATTGAATGGTCAGGTCAAGTAAATTTAATTTGTATGGCGTTTTTCTCAGTGTACATTGTTTAATAGTAAATCATGTAAATCAAATCATGATGTTAATGTTTAATATTTCCATATCTTCATGCCATATAAACAATCAAGATAATATTTGCTATATTGTCAGTATACTGTATGTATAGATCTTTGTTTGTTTGCTTGTATGTATACTGAATTTATAGATATTTGTTTTATATTGATTTGTGAATATTGTAATGTTTTAGATTAGAATATGTGGTGTATATATATATATATATGTATATATATATATATGTATATATATATATATATATACAGGT